CAAAAGCATTTGAAGCAAATATGAGAATATTTTTTAATTTGGGAAGGGTGAGTATAAGGGTATTACAATGGTATTTGCTTGAATTTTCATCACTAAAATATTCATAATAAAAAATGCAAGTAATTGGGTCCATCAGGAGTCCACATGGTGCTGCGCATCATGCCAAGGGCTTGGTCGGAGCTGGAGGAGGTCACTCGAGGCAAGGTGCAGAGCAAGAAGAAGCGGGGAACGCTGCTAATTCTTTCGCACCTCCTGTACTTGGAGATGTGGATTCCGCATACGTGGGTGAGGGGTTGGGGTGAACTCCTGGTGACACTTTGACAGCACCAGGGCCGCGCTGCTGCCCAGCTGTACTGCCCTGTCTGTGACTTAGAATGGACCTTCTTTCTGCCATCCGTCAGCTACAGGATGGCTGGTGCCCGACAGGTGGCTTCTGTTTACCCACCAAATGGCTGCCACTTTGTAGGGCGTGGTTAGTTGACTCTGGCAGAGTAGTGCAGCGCCGGCGCTTGTAAAGATCACTGATTGTCAGGGCTGTTTGTTATTTCTAGGAGCTTATCACTGGTTAATCTAGCAGGCCTTCTATCAGTGGAAAATCAATATGAAGTTATAAATTTTGGGAAGGCAGAGGGGTAGACTCTGGATAATTTTGATGTTTGTTTTTCTTTTGGTAACAGCTTTTATTTTCCTTCCTTCTCCTCCTATCCCTGTCCCCACCTCTTTCTCTCTCTTTTTGTGGTGCAGATGAACCCAAAACCCCATGTGTGCTAGGCAAGCACTCTACCCCTGGGCCACGTCCCAGCCTGGGAGCAGCTTTTTTTAAAATTTTTATTTATTTATTTTGTGTGTGTGTGACCAGCTCAGCCCACCATGGGGCGGGGCTGGCTGGCATGTGGTGCTGGAGGATTGAACCGTGGTCCGTGTGCTTTGCTTAGTTTAGCTTAGCTTAGCTTGTTCTAAATAGGTGCTTTAGACCACTGAGCCATCTCACCAGCCCCCCTGGGAGTAGCTTTATTGAGATATGACCATATACTGTACAATTCATTCTCTAACACTTAAGCAGTTTTTAGTATATTTATAATCCATAGACTTGTGCAATTGTCGCCCCGGAAGGAAACTCAGTAGGCTTTAGTAACCCCTCATTTCCTCATCTCTCTGAGCTTCTGGTGACTATTAAGCAACTTCCTGTCTGGATGGATTTGCTCATTATGAGGCCAGCGTATACCCTCAGTCATTCAATGCGTGGTCTTTGGGACAGGCTTCTTCCACATCACAGCATGCTTTTATGGTTAATCCATACGGTAGTGTGTATCAATCCTTCATTTCTCTCAGTTGCTGAATAGTGTTGTACAGTAGGGATACACAGACCTTGGTTTGTTTGTTTGTTTTTCAGTATCAGGGATCAAACTCATGACCTTGCACTTGCCAGGCAGGCACTTACACTGCTGAACTATATCCAAGCCCTGGGATACACAGTCTTGTGTCCATTCCTCCGCTGATGGATGTTTGGGTTGTTTCTACCTTTTGTGGGGCTCAATTTCACTTTTTAAAAAAGTTTTCAAAATACACACAATTCAGACCTGAGCTTCTTAGAGTTTTTAACACTTTGAAATCTGAAAGCTCTATGATGCCTCTGTACAATTTAGTTTATAGTTGGGCCTGGTGTCACATGCCTATAATCTCAGTACTCTGAGAGACTGAGGCAGGAGGATTGCAAGTTAGAGCCCAGCCTAGGCAACTTAGTAGGAGACTATCTCGAATAATAAAAGAGGGCCAGCCAGATAGCTTAGCAGACTAAAGCGCCTGCTTAGGTGGGCTCAGCCACCCGGGTTCAATCCAGAACCCCATGCTTGCTGGCCCCGCCCCCGGGGCACACTGAGACAGTGATTGAGACTGGGCATGGTGGCATGCACCTGTAATCCCTGCGCTTGGGAGGCTGAAAACAGGAAGATCACCACAAGTCCGATCTGTGCAGTGAGTCCCTGTAGACCCTGTGCTAAAATACATTAAAGAAACAGAGAATTAAATAATAAAGGATTAGGGGCCGGGGAGATGGCTCAGTAGACTAAGCGCTTGCCTGGCAAGTGCAAGGGTCTGAGTTCGATCCTCGGTTCCGCAAAAAAAAAAAAAAAAAAAAATAATAATAATAATAATAATAATAATAATAATAATAATAATAAAGGATTAGGGATGTTGCTCAGTGTGAAAGTGTGGGGATCAATCCCTAATATCATGTTCCCAACAAGGTTGATGGATAACATACATATTACAGAAGAGCCTGGCTTGTCCCCTGATTCCTACGGCTGCACCTTCCATAGGAGGCAGATTATTGCCTTCTGGATATCATACCTATAATTCAAAGTTAACAGTTACTAGGGGCTGTTTTGAGTTATATACCCTTAACATAGGCTAATCGCCTTGCACCTTTGGGTGCAAATCATATAATTTGCACCATATAATATGCAAATCATATAATTCCTTTTTTAATCTGGTGAGAAAATAAATAAGGTCACAAATACAAGCCAAGCCAAGGGGAAGATCTGACACATTTAATGAATGAAGACAAAAGACGCTTAAATTTATTACATACACAGTGAATAAAAAAGAATAAACCAAAGATGCTAGCTCCCCAAGATCCTTGACCTCTGTGCCCAAAAAGACTACACCCACACTAGGCCCAGAGTTTTGGGAAATGGAGGCAGGAAGATCAGCCCCCAAGTTTGAGTCCTACCTGGGCAATTTAACAAGTCCTTGTCTCAAAATAAAAAATAAAGGGGCCAGGGAGATGGCTCAGTGGAATAAGCGCTTCCCTGGCAAACTCAAGGGCCTGAGTTTGATCCCCGGTTCCGCCAAATAAATAAATAAATAAATAAATAAATAAATAAATAAAAATGGTGTGGTGGCACACTTCTGAAATCCTGGCACTCATAGGAGGAGGCTGACATAGGAGGGTTGTAAATTAGAGCCCAGCCTGGGCAATTTAGTGGCTTAGCAAAATCCTGTTTCAAAATAAAAACATAAGTCAAAGGCCTGGGGATAGCTCAGTGCAAAGGCCCTACATTCTGAAAAGTAAAAAAGTTAACACCTGAACATGGGCATAGATGACTGCACTGTGAGTGTGGAGCGTCTTAGGTACTGAGAAGCCCCTTCTGGACCATAACTAAGGAATCTTTTTTTTTCCCCAAAGAACTAAAGGTTTATTATAGTTCCTAGTCTCTAGAGGTTTCAGTTTATATTTGACTGGTTTTAAGGCAAGGTGGCAAGACAAAGGAGAATTGGTCCATGGTAGGCAGGCAGGTAACCACAAAACAAGAAGCAAGCAGCAGCAGCAGCAACTAAGGAATCTTATGTTCTGAATTTCTTTTCTAAGGGACCTAAAGTCTCCCTGGAACCCAGGAAGGAGGCAATGATGCACTGTCTCATACCAGCCTCAGGTGATAAGTAGGTAAAGAAGTACAAACAGAAAATAAATACATAAAAAAGTGTTCAACATTGCTGGTCATTCAAGAGATGCAAATTAAAACAACACTGAGATTCCATCTCATCCCAGTAAGAATTGTTATGGGGATGCTGGTGGGGATGTGGGGAAAAAGGAACCCTTCTCCACTGTTGGTGGGAGTGTAGCCTGGTATAGCCATTGTGGAAATCAGTGTGGAGATTCTTTTAAAAAGCTAGGATTGGAGGTCTCAATTGACCCAGCTGTTTCCCTTCTGGGTATCTTCCCAAGAGAAATGAAAACATCATACTACAGTGATATCTATGCAGCCATGTTTATAGCAGCTCAGTTTGTAATAGCTAGATCTTGGAAACAACCCAAATGCCCATCAGCTGAGGAATGGATAAAAAGATGTGCTATTTTTGTACAATGCAGGACCATTCAGCCATAAAGAGGGACAAACTAGAGACTTTTGTAGGTAAATAGATACAACTTGAGACTATACTTGTAAGTGAAATAAACCGTCGGAAATATCATATTGTCTCCTTAGTGTGAGAAGCTGAAAAAGTAAAGAAAATCCAAAATGTACAATAGATACTATACAATGGGAAGAAACTTCAAAAGGAAAAAAAAACTGGGATGGGGGAAACAAGAAAAAAAGGAAGGGAAAAACAAAACAAAAAAACAAACAAAAAAAACCCTATCTTAACTATCTTGCATATATATGTAAGATAGTTAAGGTAGTTATAGTACTAATTGCTCTTAGTTTATTAAAAAGAAATGTTTGTGCTACTATTTTGTGGATAATTAAATGCATATATCTTGTACTCTGAGTAACTAAAGATGACAATATGCAATGTATTGACCATTGACACCTATTATCTTGTCTTGAAATTTTGTTTTACTTACTTTTCTTTTTAAAACAAAAGGTGTTAGCCTCACCCCCAGTTGCACTGAGCTGGCTGCCTAGACTGGGCAGGGTGGTGCATGCCTGTAATCCCAGTGCTGGGGAGGCTGAGACAGGAGGACCACTAGGAGTATGAGCTGCCACCATACCTGGCCCAAATTAACTTGGTTGCCCAATTAATCTTCTTAGCTATCTCCCCAGCCCCCCAAATACATTATAAATAAATAAATAAATAAGAAGCCCAGTGAGATAGCTCAGCAGACTAAGCACCTGTTTAGGCAAGTGCAGGGATGGGGGTTTGATCCCTGGTACCACATGTCATGCTGGACCTGCCTCTGGGTGCACTGAGCTGGCCATGGCCACTGGGTCTGGGCATGGTGTCTCATGCCTGTACTACCAGCACTGGGGAGGCTGAGACAGGAGGATCACTATGAGTCTGAGCTGCATAGTGAGACCCTGTACCAAATACATAAAAGGAAAGGAAGAAAGAAAAAAGAAATTGGGGCCAGGGAGATGGCTCAGCAGAATAAGCACTTGCCTGGTAAGCACAAGAACATGAGTTTAATCCCTGGTTCTGCAAAAAAGAAAGAAAGAAAGAAAGAAAGAAAGAAAGAAAGAAAGAAAGAAAGAAAGAAAGAAGAAGAGAAACTTCAGCAACCCACCACTGCACCTGACCTGTTCTCCACTGGCTGGTGCAATCCAGTGGTGAGCTGATAGTAACCCCAGTTTAGGAAACAGTGTTGTTCTTCATGTAGGCGAATCTGTGCTGATAGCATGGGAACAGCCCAGAGCTAGTAAAAAAAAAAAAAAAAAAAGCTAAGGTGAGGAGGAGGTGACCCCATTGGCTCCTCGCCAGCAGTCTCTCAGGTATGGGCTGATCACAATGTTCTGCCGAAAGTCACAGGCGGGGCTGGAGAGATGGCTCAGTGGTCTAAAGCACCTACTTGAAACAAGCTTGGCAAAGCACAGGGACCGCGGTTCGATCCCCCAGCACCACATGCCAGCCAGCCCTGCCCCCTGGTGGGCTGAGCTGGCCACACACACATACAATAAATAAATGTAATAAATAAAAATAAATAAATAATTTAAAAAAAAAAGTCACAGGCGGTGGTTTATGATGTCAGGGATGAGTTCTTTCAGGTTGGCAATCTGGGGCCACGCCCCTGCCCACTGGGGGGGTCTGAGTAGCTTTCCTGATAAGGCTGCTATCCGCTGAGGCTCTGTTCGTGGATGACAACATTGGACAAGTGTGCACAGACAAGTGCGCACAGCTGTGACTCCACGCTGGCAGCTGAGGCCTCCTGGAGGTCACACTGAGAACTGGACACGACTATGGTCAAGCGCATTTGCCTCCCGCATGAGCCCGCTAACAACCGGGGAACAACTTGGACGAACAGACAAGAGGCCACTGGGGTGGGACCAAGTCAGAAGTTAATCTTTTTTTTTTTTTTTTTTTTTTTTTGGTCACTGTTAGAGATTGAGCACTGAGCCTCATGCTTGCTGGACTGATATTCTCCTACTGAGTTACAGTCCCAACCTAGAAAGTTGGTTTTGTTCCGTGATCTTTTTATTTATTTTTCTGTTTTTTTTAAAAAAACTGTATTTGGTCCAGGGTCTGCAGGGTCTCACCATGTAGATTGGACTCCTAGTGATTCTCCTGTTTTCAGACTCCCAAGTACTGGGATTACAGGAGTGCACCACCACGCCCAGTCTCAATCACTGTCTCAATGTGTCCTGGGGGGTGGGGCCGGGGACGACCCACCAGGAATCAGACCCTGGCCCCTGTACTCTGCCTAAGCAGATGCTTTAGTCCGCTGAGCTATCTAGCCAGCCTTTTTTTTTCTGTTTTTGAGACAGGGTCTTGCTGTGTAGTTTAGGCTGGCTCAAACTAGGTCTTACCCATATGTGCATCCTGGTTTGTCCCAAGGTCCCTTCCTTGCTTAGCTTCTATCATCCTAGAACATGTGGACCACACAAGGATTCCCTTAGGAGTTGGAACCTTATTCTCACGGTCACTGTCATCACTAACCTTGATTGCCTGAGACTGGCAAGTACAGGTGGTAGCAAAAGAAGTCCTCATCTTGAGCCATTCACTTTCTGACTGCTACTTAACAAATCCCAGCAGCCTGACTTTTCAATGAATAGGTGTGGCAAGAAAAATAGAAAGAAAAAAGTTAGTGGATGTGGTTTCTGTGTCTTTCAGGCATTGATCTCTAAAAATTGTGCTAAATGTGAAGCTTCCTTCTGGAAAATTGCCACATTCAAAGTTCAAGTTAACTTTTTTTTTTTTCCAGCGTTTTGAGCCTGGGTTTCACCCTGTAGTCTTGGCTGGCCTCATACTCATGGCAATCCTCTTGCCTCAGCCTCCTGAGAGCTGGCACTATGGGTGTGCGGCACCATACCTGGTCCAAATTAACTTGGTTGCCCAATTAATCTTCAGTTGATCCTTTCAGAGACCATTCCAAGCGGGGCATGGTGGCCCCTGCCTATAATTCCAGCAGTTGGGATGCTGAAGCAGAATGATTGCTATGAGTCTGAGACCAGCCTGAGCTACATAGTGAGGTCCTGTCTCTAAAGACCAGAGAGAGAGAGGGAGAGAGAGAGAGGGAGAGACAGGGAGAGAGGGAGAGAGGGAGCAGAGAAAGAGAGAGAGGGGGAGAGAGAGAGAGAGGGAGAGGGAGAGAGGTAGAAGAGAGAGAGAGGAAGAAGAGAGAGAGGGAGAGAGAGGGAGAGAGAGGGAGAGGGAGAGGGAGA